GCCGCGGGGCGATTTGCTGAATAAGCAGTGTTACCCTCCGTGCGACAAATCTCTCGCGTTTGAGTCCCCGTAGCCGATCCTCGTGCGATGGAAATCCTTCCTTCAGGTTCCGGAGCACCCCACTATTGCTGGAAATTCCTAACAAGATAGCCTTTAGCAGTCCTGACTCGTCATTCTCCCACACAGTGACGTGGCACACGGGGGCAATGCACTCCCCTCGCCACCATCTTCCCCCGCTATCCTAGATTCTTGAGGCACCGTCTCTTTCCATGATCTTTTCTCCCTGTGGATAGAGATCAAAAGATAGAGATCTTTTTATTTCAACCACGTCCTTGAGTTTCAATAGATGTGCTCTCTACAAAAAGTGACTGAGTTTAATAATACTGGGAAAATAACCTTGAAGTCATTTTCCCTTCAAAGCCATTTTTCTCAAGTGGATGATTTCCCTTTAGGGACAGTCTTTTCTGAGCACCTGCCTTTGCTGTTATTGTTGTTCTTATTTAGTAACATATGACAGTAGAATGTATTTTAGCAAATTATACATTAGTAGAGTATAACTTATTCTATTTAGGATCACACTCTTGTGGTTGTACATGATGTGAATTTACCCTGGTTTTGTATTCAAATACGAGGCTAATAATGTTAGGTCCAGTTAATTCTACTGTCTTTCCTATTCCTCTCTCCCCTCCCATCCTTTTATTTTCCTTTGTTCAATCCAGTGGATTTCTATTATTCCCCTCCCCAACCTCCCTTTTGTGTTAGCATCTACAAATCAGAGAAAATATATGACAGTAGGTATGCATCTGAGGATGTTTGAGGATTGGCTTATTTTACTTAGCTTGATATCTCCAGTTTCATCCATTTACTGGCAAATGCCATTATTTTATTTTTCTTTATGGCTGAGTCATATTCCATTCTGTGTACACACCACATTTTCTTTTTCCACTCATCTGTTGATGATGTCAAATGGTGGTTCCATTCCAAGTTTTCTAAGGGATCTCCATATTGCTTTCCATAGTGGCTGCTCTAATTTGCAGTCCTGCCCAAAATGTACGAGTGTACCTTTCTCACCACATCCCCACCAACATTTATTGTTACTTATATTCTTTATAATTGCCATTCTGATTCAGGTGAGATGGAATCTCCGTGTAGTTGTGTAGTTTTAATTTGTATTTCTCTAATTGTTAGAGATGGTAAACATTTGTTTATATATCTTTTAACCATTTTTCTTCGTCTATGAAGTGCTTGTTCAGTCCTTTGCCCATTTATTTATTGGGGTATTTGGGCTTTTTTGGTGTTAATATTTTTGAGTTCTTAATATATCCTGGAGATTGTTGTATGCTCTTGTCTGAGGTGCATTTGGTAAAAACTTTTTCTCATTCTGTAGACTCGCTCTTCACATTATTGATTGTTTCCTTTATTATGAAGAAGCTGTGCAGTTTGCCATCCTATTTATTCATTTTTGCCTTCTTAGCATCCCAGGCACAGAAACCAAAGGTGACATATCCATCACACTCATGATCTCTATCATTGTGCCTGAATCACTAGCTGGTTTCCCCAACAGGCAGGGACATAAGAAATGGGCATTCAGGGGCTACTAAACAAAGAGAAAACTGGGATAGTTACTGAACCCTCTTCTCCTTTCAGGTCTAACTGAGAAGGCCTGTTTCCAAGGGCCACTGAGTGTACATGTAAGCCCTGATGTGTCGGAGATGCAAGCCTCAGATGCACACCTGGATGTAAATGCCCAAATGAGCAGATGTCAAGGGACAATGTTAGGTCACCAGTTCAACTGTGGTGATGGGGAGCCAGGATGAGCCTTTCCTCTGCTATCAATAGCTGTGTAGCCAACACTGATTCTGGAAAACAGTGGACACTCTTCCCAAGTCGGGAAGGAAAGGGAATTCGTAAGCCCTGATCCACGTGTTGGTAGTCAGAATGTTGTGGGTGGCAGAGATGATGGGACTCTCCGTGTTCTCTCAGGGTCATACTGGAAGCTGAGATTCTCTGACATGGTGAGGTGAGCCGGAGCCTGAGATTTAGGGTTAGATACACTCTCAGGTCCTGGGCTGGCCTTGGCCATGTGTATATCCTAGGTGTTAAAATAATTTCTATAGTGCCAATTCAACAAAAATTTTAAAAATTTTAATGCAAGCTTTGACTATGTAATCTCAAATACTTAGCTAACTTCTGGTGATTTGATAAATATGATTTCACAAAGACATTTTCATTTGATAGAGAGCAGTTTTTCAGTAATAGTATAAATCCTGGGCCCACAATTCTATGTCCTGACATATACAGCTCACTTTTCTCCTTTCCTCCTCTCTGAAATAAAGTGACACCTTCACACAGAAAGTGCACAAATTGGCCTCCTCGATGATTCCACACTGAGTCTTTCCTCTCCATTCATCTGTCTCCATAGCCATGTTGTCAGTGTCCTCACAAGGATTCAGTTCTGAGCTTTCAGTCCCTCTTGCCCCCTTAATCTGGGTTGTGTTCATCTTGATTCTCTGTCTCCCTCAATATCAGCTTCTGGAGCCTCTGGTTCTCGTGTCAGGTGCCACACTTATCTGACAGATGTGGGCACCCTCACACTCATTACAAACCTCTGAGGGTCACACAAGAGAAGAAACACCTGTCCCTCATGTGGGGCACTCCCTGAAATGGGCTCAGTGTGCGTCAGTGGTGTGTAGTTCGTGAAGCACATGTGATAACTTGAGGAGGTTCACCATCTTTTCTTCCTGCTGGACTGTCTTGGATGCTCCCACAATCCCAGTCAAGACTCAGCCCACAGACTCAGTTGTGTAATGGTGTTCTGGTGTCTAACAAGTCATCTACTTTTCGAGCATCTCTTTTTTCTCATGTTTCTAAATTATTTTTAACTTCTACTGGCCGGAAAATCAAAATATTATGCAATCCTTCAATTAAACATTCATAATGATGTTCATCAGATGTATCCATCATATATTAGGCATATATAGTAGTTACATTAGTAATAATGCCTGCATGTAAAGTAAGTCAATTGTTTGCAAGATTTAAAATTTTCCAGGCACATGTCTTTCCCAGTTATTTACGTTCATACAGTTTTCCTTCTACTTTGATTTTACTTAATTTCTATAATCTCTTCCCTACTAAAAGCACTGCCTTATATACCTGGGAGCTATAGGTGTCTATTATGTCCATTTTTCTTGAATATTTTCATAAATTAGAAGTATGCTTGCCTCCTGTCAAGTTTATCATCAACAAAATGAAAGTATCAGTCTCTATAAGCTGCACATTCTTGCACTTTCTTGTGAATGTCTGCTTTCTTGATTTGGTGACCCTTTTGGGTCAATAGATGTGTCACAGGATAATACTTCCTGTTTTATTTTCAGAGCTGAAGTTAGATACTTTCATTGAAGTGAAAAACCCTCCCAAGCTAGTGGGTGATGCCCTTGGAGGCTGAGCTGTCAAAACACCTGAGTGTGAGCTGCATGTCCTCATTGAAACCACGAGTGTCCTGACACAGAAGATCATGAAAAGAAAACAACTCTTCAGCAATTGGAGAATGGCATGCAGATTCCCAGGACTTCAAGCTTCTGGTAGAGTGGTGATGGCTCCTGTGGCTCCGGGATGCACTTACTCATTTCAGCTCTCTCTATGAGGATGTAGCTCCTTCTGCTGTGATTTCTCTTCACCATTGGTTCTTTCCAACAGCAGATGGAGACTGTCTGGTCTTACCTCTCTTTTTCATGGTCTCCCACCCTGACAGGCCCTTCCATCTCCATCTCTTGTTTGCATTCTGAACTCTGCTCTGTTCCTATATCTGCTGTCCTGATATTCCCTGTAACTGCCACAGGAAAGCCCAGCTCGATGGGGGTTCTAATCCCATGAAGAGCATCTTTTCAGACACATGCCACCTTCCCTGGAATCACACGCTGTCTAGGCTTTTTTGCCTTCTCTGCCCAGCTTCCTTGACTCCACTGCCTCTTTCTCCTGGGAACATGGCCTTCATAGGTCACTGGCACATGACTCCTTCTTGGACCCTCCCTGGTAAACAGGACTAAGTCAACCCTGGATTTTATCTTGGACATACAAAGGAAAATCGTGAAAACTGATGAGAAAGATTACAACAACTAAACTACATCTGGGCTATAGGTGGCAGACCCAAACAGGTCAAGAGTCATTATGTCTTCACCCCTTAGTCCACTCCATGTTCCATGACTCCTTTTTTTGCTCATTCCTGACCTCCATTGCAATAACTTCCAAGATTTCTTGCAGATTCTTATTGCTGTCTAGCCAAGGTGACTGGAGAACCCACATGGGCTCTAGTTGAAATGGGTGGAATAGCACTATTTAATGACGACTGGATGTTTTTTAATTGTTTGCAGAAAACCATGAAAATCAGGATCATAGAGATCAAGATTCACTGAATTCCAGGTAACAACAAATGATCTGAGGGTAGTAAAAAGGGTAAACTAAGGGGTTAAGGATGATCTGAAAGGATAGATCATGAGGTCAAAGTAGACATATTTCATGACCAAATGTAAAGAAAGACTGCTGTTGGCAGTGGTGATGTTGACTCAGGCCAGTGTGATGGAGCCCTTTAGCAAGGTTATCTTTTGTCCTCCTGGTGCTGGTGCAGTGAGTGTGACTAAGAAGAACTGCGCAGTCAGTTTTGGGCATTTCTTGCTTTTAAGGAAATCAGTTGTTAACTTTGTAAGTTGTAAAATCAGGATTAGAGGTATACTGTCTTTGTACACTAATGGTCTGAGATCATGGACAGGTATGCCATAGCAAGAAAAGCAGAAATGAGTATTATTTCAAGAAAATGGATAGAAAAATGAGTATTAAGTCAAAAAATGGATAGAAAAAATTCTAGAAGGCACAAGTTCTCTGGCCCTCTATAATGTAGCAGGGTGTATTCGCTCGCCAACTATGTGTGTCAATATCAGTCATGCACAAGGTTCATCCACTGCTATGTTTCTTATTATGTGCTCCTTCTGTACCTTATAGGTGGAGTCAAGCCTCCTTCCTCATGAGCTTGTTATCTGGCCAGTACATTCTCAGCAGTCTCAACAGTGAACTACATGAGGAGAAAGAGGATGATCTCCTGCTGGACGAAAAATATTTTGTACCCTCTGGTCATCCGGATTCACCTGACACACAAGAACTTTTCAGAAGCTCTGTCGTCCCATCAGATGAGCCTAAAGTCAGCTCTGCTGTGGATGGAGCCAGTGAGTACTACTTAAATGAATTCAATTTATCTTTCTGGTAAAGTGCAAATTCTCTGCACTCAACTCCACTGTCTAGGCTGAGACACATGCATGCAGAGGCGGAGACCCATTTTGTTTCAGAGTAGGTACAGAGGTCAGGTGGGTCTAAGATTTGCTCTTTTCCTATGGTCTGGTCAGATTTCTTTCATTGTGGCCTTTACTGTGCCAGCCATATATTTGCATGTAGGTTGCAGTTACAAGGGAGAGCATCATGAGCACTTCACAGACTGATTCTACCCTTAATGAATGTCCACTGTGCCAAGCATGGTAGCTCAGGCCTATAATCCCAAAGGCTCAGGAAGCTGAGACAGAAAGATTACAAGTTCAAAGCCAGCCTCAGCAACAGGGAGACACTAAGCAACTCATTGAGACCCTGTCTCTAAATGAAATACAGAATAGGGATGGGGATGTGGCTAAGTGGTTGAGTGTCCCTGATTTCAATCCCTGGTACCCCAAAAAAAATTTTAAAAAATATGTCCACCATTTCTTTCCATGATCTTTTCTGCCTGTGGATGAAGATTAACAAATCCTTTATTTTCTCCCATGCCCTGGTATCTCTGTAGAATGTTCTCTCCAGAAAAAGTAACTAAGGTGAATCATATTGGGATAATAAACATGAACTCATTGTTACTTCAAAGCCCTGTTTTTCAATTGGATAACTTTATTTTAGGGACTCTTGTCTGGGCACCGCTCATCCAAGAATAACTAAGCACATGTACAAATGATCACATGTGCATTGGACACATGATCTCTGTCACTGTACCTTGGCCACTAGATGGGTCAATAGGCCTGCACATAAGAAATGGGCTTTCCAGGAGTGATTAGCAAAGGGAGAACTGGAATTGGTACTGAATCTTCTTCTCCTTTCAGCTTCCACAGAGAAGGCCCAATGGCCTTTGAGTGGACATGTGAGCCTGTATATATTATAGATGCAAGTTTCCCATGCACAGGTAGAGTCAAGAGCCCAATAGAGCAGTAGTCCATCAGATAAATATAGAGATCCCCCCATGTGTATATTACACATTGTTTATATATGGTGGTTATGTTGTATATAATGGGTATATATGGAATATATTATTATTATGAAAATGTTTATTCCTTAGGAGGAGTTTTCCTTTCTTTAATTATGTGGTTGTTTCTACATTGATTTGCTTGATTTCTGTTACCTCTTCCTTCCTAAAAGCACAACTTACCTCCAGTGTGATTTCCTAGTTTGGGCTTGTACATCTATAAGACTTTACCAATCCTATTACTTATACATTTTTTAGCATTTTGAACACCTTTTCCTCCTGGAAAATTTACCATTATTGAATGTGGAAGAAGCATAAAAGGAAAAGAAAGGGAAAGAAAATATCAGAGTCACTATAAGCTGTATATCAACTCACGGACTTCCTTGTCCAAAGCTTCTTTCTTGATTTGGTGACCCTCTTGGTGGAAGAGTATGTCACAATAAGATCATAGATGATAAACGATCCTGTTGTCTGTGGTTTTATTGTCAGAGCTGAATTTAGATGCTTTTATTTCAATGAAATGTCATGTCAAGATAGAGGGTGATGCTCTTAAAGGATCATCTGACACAGAGGAAGCCAGCGGCCACCAACTTGGAGAGCTGATGTCACCATCCCTGTTTTCGACTGATCGCGGCTCATTCAGCCATAGAACAGGTAATTTCAGGCTGCCATTCGCCTGCGTCTTGCAGACAAATTACTCAGGCTCAGTGCTAAAGAACCCGCAGAAACTGCTTCTTGGAGCCTGCTCCTATCAAAACATACACCGAGCCCAGAGTGGCCGAATTCTGGCTCCCGGAACTGCTCTGGCCCAGGGCTAAAGAACCTGCGGAAACTGTTTCTCGGTCAGGGTCCTGCTGAATACTGTGGAGGTAAATACCAACTGAGCCTTCATAGGCAGTGGCAACAGGATTGAGACGGGGCTTGTGAGGGCCGGTCAGGACTCACCTGTTGCTTTGGTCACCCGGCAAAGGGAACGAAATGCTGCCATTCGCATGGGATACCAACATGGCAGAGATCTGATGTCATCAGAAAGCGGCGGAGGAGAGAACTTCAGTGATTCCAGCAGTGACAGAAACAGTTGGTCTCCTGGTAAAGAAAGTGAGTCACAAACACCCGAGTCTCTCTCACTTTGTCATCAAGCCAGAGGGGCAGAGCAGAGCTGCCGCCCGTGCCCGGAACAGGCCCAGCAGCCCGCCGGCATGGCAGTCACGTAACCCAAATTGGAGTAGGAGCAGAGCAGAGATGCCTCCCGCTCTTGGAACAAGCCCAGCGACCCACCGGCGTGGTAGACACGTCACACCAATTGGAGTAAGGGCAGAGCAGAGCCGCTGCCCGTGCCTGCAAGGTAGGCAGACCTGCGACTGACCAGCAGAACAGGCCCAGTGGCCCATCAGCATGGTAGACAGATCACCCCAATTGGAGGAGGAGCACAGCAGCCGCCCGACCCTGCAAGGGAGAATTTTCAACTATACAAGAGCAATATAAATATATAGGGGGAAAATTTCAAAAACACAACAGTTTCACCAAGCAGAAAGAAACGCAAGCAGTATGAAAAGACAAGGAAAGAAAGGACCACAAGCAATGCAGGTCAACTCAACTTTAGAAGAGGTAATAGCTGCAGCAGATGGAATGTCAGATAAAGAATTCAGGATATACATGCTTCAGATGATCTGGAGTCTCAAGGAAGACATTAGACAGCAAAATCAGACAATGAAAGATCACTTCGACAATGAATTACACAAACAAATCCAGGAAGCAAAAGATCAACTATACAGGGAGATAGAGGTTATAAAAAACAAACAAACAGAAATCCTAGAAATGCAGGAAGCAATAAACCAACTTAAAAACTCAATTGAGAATACTACCAGCAGAGTAGAACACTTAGAAGATAGAACATCAGACAATGAAGACAAAGTATTTCAACTTGAAAAGAACATAGACAGCTCAGCAAGACTGTTAAGAAACCATGAGCAGAACATCCAAGAAATATGGGATAACATAAAGAGACCAAACTTAAGAGTCATTGGGATACAGGAATGTATAGAGCTCCAAACCAAAGGAATGAGCAATCTATTCAATGAAATAATACGAGAAAACTTCCCAGACTTGAAGAATGAGACAGAATCCCAAATCCTAGAAGCCTACAGGATGCCAAATGTGCAAAATCATAAGAGATCCGCACCTAGACACATTATAATGAAGATGCCCAACATACAGAATAAGGAGAGAACTTTAAAAGCTACAAGAGAAAGGAAGCAGATTACATTTAGGGGTAAGCCAATCAGGATAACAGCTGATCTTTCAACAGACTCTGAAAGCTAGAAGATCCTGGAATAACATATTTCAAACACTGAAAGAAAATGGGTTCCAACCAAGAATTGTGTATCCGCGAAATTAAGCTTCAGGATGGAAGATGAAATTAAAACCTTCCACGATAAACAAAAGTTAAAAGAATTTGAAGCTAGAAAACCATCTCTTCAAAACATCCTTGGCAAAACATTACAGGAAGAGGAAATGGAAAATAACAATGAAAACCAACAGTGGGAGGTAGGACAGTAAAGGGGGGAAAATAATCAAAGAGGAAAACAAACCATGTTTAGTAACATAAATAAACAAATATGGCTGGAAGAACAACCCATATCTCAATAATAACCCTAAATGTTAATGGCTTAAACTCACCAATTAAGAGACACAGGCTAGTAGAATGGATCACAAAACAAGACCCAACAATATGCTGCCTACAGGAGACGCATTTGATAGGAAAAGACATACATAGGCTGAAGGTGAAAGGTTGGGAAAAATCATATCACTCATATGGACTTCGGAAACAAGCAGGAGTGTCCATACTCATATCAAATAAAATAGATTTCAAGCCAAAGTTAATCAAAAGGGATAAAGAGGGACACTACATACTGCTCAAGGGAACCATACACCAACAAGACATAACAATCATAAATATATATGCCCCAAACAATGGTGCAGCTATGTTCATCAAACAAACTCTTCTCAAGTTCAAGAGTCTAATAGACCACCATACAATAATCATGGGAGACTTCAACACACCTCTCTCGCCACTGGACAGATCTTCCAAACAAAAGTTGAATAAGGAAACTATAGAACTCAATAACACAATTAATAACCTAGACTTAATTGACATATATAGAATATACCACCCAACATCAAGCAGTTACACTTTTTTCTCAGCAGCACATGGATCCTTCTCAAAAATAGATCATATATTATGTCACAGGGCAACTCTTAGACAATATAAAGGAGTAGAGATAATACCATGCATCTTATCTGATCATAATGGAATGAAACTGAAAATCAACGATAAAAGAAGGAAGGAAAAATCATGCATCACTTGGAGAATGACAATAGGTTACTGAATGATCAATGGGTTATAGAAGACATCAAGGAGGAAATTAAAAAATTCTTAGAGATAAATGAAAACACAGACACAACATATCGGAATCTATGGGACACATTGAAAGCAGTTCTAAGAGGAAAATTCATTGCTTGGAGTTCATTCCTTAAAAAAAGAAAAAACCAACAAATAAATGATCTCATACTTCATCTCAAAATCCTAGAAAAAGAAGAGCAAAACAACAGCAAAAGAAGTAGAAGGCAAGAAATAATGAAAATCAGAGCTGAAATTAATGAAATCGAAACAAAAGAAACAATTGAAAAAATTGACAAAACTAAAAGTTGGTTCTTTGAAAAAATAAACAAAATCGACAGACCCTTAGCCATGCTAGTGAAGAGAAGAAGACAGAGAACTCAAATTACTAGCATACAGGATGAAAAAGGCAATATCACAACAGACACTTCAGAAATACAGAAGATAATCAGAAATTATTGTGAATCCTTATACTCCAATAAAATAGAAGATAGTGAAGGCATAGATAAATTTCTTAAGTCATATGATCTGCCCAGATTGAGTCAGGAGGA